GATGATTGGTGTGGGTAAGCGAGGTGATAACCTATATTACCTTGTGGCGTTGGCTTCAACTCCTTTTTCTTCCTGTTTTGCTTGCAATTTAATCATCTCATCCAATCTTTAACATCGCTGATTGGGACACCCTTCTTACACTTGTTTATACTTTTTAGCTGATAATTCACTTAAATTCAATTTTGATTCCAGTTATAAATGTGACATTTGTCTATTGGCAAAACAAACTTGTCACCATTTTCCCTCTAGTTTAATTTCAATTTCGAAGTGTTTTTTTCTTATTCATTATGATATTTGGGATCTATATAAAACCCCCATATCTTTTTGATGCTTTTTATTTCTTGACTATTATGGATGATTTTTCTCACTTTATATAGGTCTTTTTAATGTATAACAAGAGTGAGACACAAACTCTACTCCGTCAATTTTTTCATTATGTTAACACTTAATTCAATACAAAGGTTCAACAACTTCATTCTAATAATAGGACTGAATTTCTTTTATTAAAAAAATTTTCCTTAATGAAGGCGTTCTTTTTCAACACTCTTGTGTTTATACACTCAGCAAAATGGTGTCATTGAGCACAAACAAACACATCCTTGACACTACTCGTGCTCTTCGCTTTAAATCTCATTTACCCATTACTTTCTGGGGAGAATGTATTCTTACTTTCGTCCATATAATTAATCACCTTCCTACTTTATTGCTTCACATAAAAACACCCTTGAAGATTCTTTACAACAAACTTCCTAATTATTCTCGTATGCGAGTTTTTAGTTGTGTTGCTTTTGCAACCATAGTCAATCCATCCTCTAAATTTTCTCCCCGTTTCATACATTTTTCTTGGTACCCTATAAGACAAAAGGCTTACATACTTTACGTTGTTGCAACTCAAAAAAATTTCACCAATCGGGATATGGTCTTTCTTGAGGATACTTTTTATCATTCAGCACACAATCCACTAGCCCAACCCATTTCTTTTCCTATTATGTCTAATTCTTTTTTCCATCTTCCTCCCTCATCAGCCATCATTGACCTTTTTGATCCCCCCATGTCCTCTTCACCCGTAACAACCGACTCAGTACCCTATCTTCCTGAGTTACCTTCCTCTACTCCATTAATTCCATCGGCTGCACAACAACCAATTGTTCAGCACAATGACCTTGTCCTTCTTGACCCTATTTTGCTTATTCTTGATCAGCCATTTTGTTGTTCTCAACACACTCGAGAAGCAAATGTCCACCTGAAGGATTATGTTTGCTCACACGTGATTCTACCTCTACACCAATTGTTCTCGGCCTAGTCTATATCTACGCAGGTACGGAATATCCTTTCTATCATTTTATCTCTTATAATTGGTATTCTTCTTCACATCTCTGTTATGTTGCCAATATTAGTAGTGATAAGGAACCCCCTTCATATGACATTGCTATAACTGATCCTAAATGGTAGGAAGCTATAAATTATAAGCTTCAAGCTCTTATTGAAAATCAAATATGGAGTCTCGTTGCTTTGCCCCTTGGTAAACACCCAATCAGTTGTGAATGGGTTTATCGCATCATGCGCAAGGTTGATGGGTCTGTTAAGCACTATAAATCTCTTCTTGTTGTTCGGGGTTTCACACAGACTGCTAGAATTGATTATCATGATACCTTTTCTCCCATTGCAAAAATGGTCACTATCCACTGCCTCATTGTTGTTGCTGCCAATCTGAACTGGCCTTTACATCAATTAGACATCAATAATGCTTTCTTAAATGGTGATTTGTTAGAAGAAATATGTATGTCTCCTTCTCTAGGAGGAGAAAATTGTGTGTCGCCTTCACAAGTCACTAATGGCCTTAAACAAGCCTCTCGACAATGGTTTTCTAAGTTCATAGAAGTTGTTCTTGTTGCTGGGTTTTTGCAGTGAAAAGCCGACTATTCCTTGTTCATAAAAAAAGACAGTACATCTCTTACTATCCTATTGATCTATGTGGATGACATTTTGATAACCGGAAATAACATTGAATCTATCAAAGGTTTAAAGCAATTCCTTCATACTCGTTTCCGCATCAAAGACCTTGGTGATCAGAAATTCTTATTAAGCATTGAAATAGTCCGTTCCAAGAAAGGCATTTACATTTCCTAGCGCAAATATACTTTGAAAATTATCAAAGACAGTGGATACCTGGGTGCTAAATTGGTTGAATTTTCTATGGAAGAATGCAGACTTTCAAATACAGGAGAATTGCTCAAAGATCCTTGTATATATTAGCGTCTAGTTGGTTAATTGATTTACTTAACCATCACTAGACCTAATATCACATATTCAGTTCACATTCTCAGCCGATTTATACATGAACCATATCAAACTCATATGGTTGCTGCTCTTCGAGTTGTTCGCTATTTAAAATCAGCTTTTGGTCAAGGTTTGCTTCTTCATTCAAATAACCCATTACACTTAAAGGCATTTTGTGACTCTGATTGGCAGGTTGTCTTGTCATTTGTCGTTCCACTACTGGGTCTTGTGTATTCATTGGAAATTCCTTAATTCCATGGAGAACCAAGAGGCAAAAGATAGTTTCTTTATCAAGTGCAGAAGCTGAATACATAGCAATGACAAGTACATGTTATGAGCTTACTTGGTTAAGACATTTATTAATAAATTTGCATATGCTAATTTCAAATCCTGTTACTCTTGATTGTAATAATCAAGCCACCTTACATGTTACAAAAAATCTTGTGTTTTATGAGAGAACTCGGCTAATTGAAATGGATTGCCATTTTATTCAAGATAAAATTTTACAAGGTGAAGTTGTTACTCGATATGTGATTTCTTCACAACAATTAGCAAATATGTTTACAAAATCATTACGAAAAGAGAAGTTCAAACAGCTCATATCCAAGTTGGGAGTTATTGATATTCACTCTCCAACTTGAGGGAGAGTCTTGGAGATTATATTGAAAGTATTTTGATATAAATAAAAAAACTATCTCTTGAGATAATTAAAAAAAACATGTTAAAATATTTTGTATAGATCTGCATTTAATTAGTTATCATTTCTTCTTAGTGTCTGATTTATAAGAGACCCGTAATGTATTCTATATATATATATATATATATATATATATATATATATATATATATATATATATATATATATATATATATATATATATATATATATATATATATATATATATATGTTGAATATAATCAATACAACTACATCCGCTTGAATAGCTTTTTCTTATAAGCCTATCTTTTTCTTTCTAAGCAAGCAATAAAAAAACAGGGCTAGCTTCTCCCCAACATAGTTCACTTAAGATTCTGCAGGTTTTTGGTAAGATCCATCAGAAATTTGTGTGATTGAAAATCACTGTGCACGTGTTTACTCTACATGTTAAATTGTAGCCTCCCTAGAACCCACTGTCTTTTTTTTACTGCATTTTGGTCTGGTAGTGGCATAGAATCGTGGACGTTACCATAGCTACTAGTGGGGAAAATCACAATTCCAAGGGGTAAAAAAAATTCCAATCGACAAATACTTGCTGCAACAAGTTAATATGCCTTGGAAATGAGGAACGGCTCAAATACTTGTATGTTCAAAAGAAGAATATCATGTTTTATCCCCCATTTCTCATAAATTCAGTTTGAGTCTTCTACTAAAAAACCCAAAAACGATAAAGAAAAACGGGTAATCAATTACTTAATCAGATCTTCTCAAAACATTATCTGATCAGATGAAAAACCTCCAGAGCAAGGGCAAAACATGGAAACAAAAAACCACCTCAGACTTTGCATGGCATAAATAATGATAGTATTCTTTCTAAGCAAGCACAGAGAACTCAAAACATAACACAGAATAATTCTTTGTTGGCAATGTCTGATCATCCTGATAAAGGCTAGTTTTAACCCATAAAATGTCTGAAGATACAATTTCTATAACAGTTATCTGGACACGGATTAACAGGATCTGTGTTTATAATTGTTAATTCAAAAGGAATGCTGCAAGTTTCTAAAAAAGAATGAAGACATGTATGGTACTGTTTACTGACATGATAAGCTAGTATTACATATGTTCATCCTAATAATAATGCGACCATAAAATCACTAACTATATTCAAGATGTTATGAGCCTCCCTCGGAAACAACTCTGAACGAAATCTATAGCTAAGATTTTTACCTCATGCTTGTAGCTAGGGGCATCTTCAGAGCTTCAAGACAAGGTCGTTGGCTGCAAAGAGAGAACAACATGGGCAAAAAACACAGAAGAAAAAATAAAAACTTGGCAATCCATCCTGCTGAACAATTATGAATCCAGTCTAGCATACACAATAACAACACTGACAAGAATGAATGGTTTTGACTGTAAAAACAGTCAAATTCATTATGTTGCAAAAGGCCGTCTATGGCATGAGCTCCAGCCTAATGAAGAGTAAGGTGATCATGTTTGTTGAGCTGCAGAACGAGCTGTCCCCTCTTAAGAGAATTTGAAGTCCACAATTGCTCAAGAGCCTCGCTATTACCAACCTTTAATGTCAGGTAGCATAACAATACAATTCCACACATTAGAGCCTGGCCAACAGACAGAAGAAATCCCCTTTTTTAAAAAAAACATGGTAAACCACAACTCTGAACAAAATCTATTCAAATAGAAGAGGAAAGAATTCAGTTCCTCAAAAGGATCAGAGACCATAACATTACCAACAGAATAGCATGCATCCTTAGGATGTGTTTGGGTTGCGGCAATTGGATAGGACAGCAGAATAGCAATCCCACAGAAAACTCAAACAAAGGTGGAAACTAGGGAAGTAGAAATCTCCAAGTTACTGTCTAGCAGAAAGCAATAAACACCTAGGCAGAAATCTTTTGGAAGTGGCAACCACAATTCTGGACAACTCAAACAAAGGTCGCTTACCTCAAGCTTATTAAATTGCCAGTCATAAACAAAAACCGACCCTAATGCGGGGGCAACTTCAAAGCTGTAAAGCAAGGTTGAAAATAAATATTCAAACTGCAGAACAAACAAAAGCTTGGCTATAATTCAACATTACAGCAAGAAAACCTTGTTAAATTAGGCGGAACTGAAATCCAATGCATTTATCAAGCATGCATTGAATCTTGTTCAACAATCATGTCCCAATCACCAAGTTTTCTCCAATTATCAGAAAGAATCTAGTGTAATGTATATTACAACACTCACAAGGATGAAAAGTTTTGGCAATAGTCATTATGGTGCCAAAGATTGTCTATTGAGAGGAGCTCCAGCCTGATAAAGAGTGAGGTGGTGTATGGCCTTGGCAAACAAATCCTTAAATTCAGGATGTTGAGCTAAAACAGAACGAGCTGTCCCCTCAAGAGTATTCAAAGCGCGTGCTTGCTCAAGAGCCTTACTGTTCCCAGCACTCAATGCGAGGTAACATAATAATACAAGCCCCTGCAGTTGAGGCTGATCACCAGACCGTAGCAATTTCATTAAAGGGGGAACCCCATCGAACTCTATAATTGCTTTCGAATGCTCGGAACAATTGAAATTTTCCGGACATGCGAATTTCCCCAAGGCAATAGCAGCTTCTGTAGCGACTTCCACATTCCTATTACCAAGATGAGAAACCAAAGGCGCCATTATTCGAGTTTCCCTCGCAGGAAATGTTCGAGCCAAGCAACCAATTGACCTAATAGCAGGAATCTGCAACTGTGGATCACTTTCCTCTTGAATTACTCTTAAAAGCTGATCCAAAACTGCCTTTGCAGCAGGCAAATTAGTCTTGAAAGCTGCACGTCTAAGATCAGCATTATACTCTGCCACTGCCGTGATCTCCATAATGGTCATCAAACAATTAAACTGCAGCTCCCCTTTTTCCCTCTCAACAATCTTCGCTAAGCAAAGCAAGCCTTTTGTCTCCGTAATCTTCCTACTATTGGACACACTCCCTCTTGACAGTTTCCACAGTGCCTCTGCACAACTAACCTTAAGCTTAAGCTGCATCTCTGGTGTCTCCATTTCCCTCTCCTTGTTACTATGTGAACCACCATGACTACTACTGTCCGAATTATAACTAGCCTTAAAATTCTTATAAGCTAATTTTTTGTTCATTTCGATAAGCGAGGGAATACTAGTTTTAACAGGGTTATTACTCGCTATTTCCAAATCCAAATGACTAGACAACAAAGACACCAATGGCCTAGTCACATTCAATCTCATAAACTCCTCCTGCGCATAATCATCCAAAGCCGCCATTCTCGCCACCAAATTGGCCACCGAAATCTGAACCTTCGTTTGTGAATCCCCTAAAACCCCAACAATCATCGAAATCCCAAGTGCATCAACAATCAACCTAACTCTTTCTCTATCACTTGCAATATTAGAAAGTGCAGTGGCAGCAGCAATTTGTGCCTCCGCAGAAGCACCCTCCTTGAGCAACTTCAACAAAGGCAAAATCCCACCTTCTTCAACAATCATCTTCTTATTCCTATCATTATCACGCGCTAACGAAGCGAGTTGATTGGCGGCATCAACACGATCCTTAACTTGACCCCTTTGAACAGCAGAAATAGAAGACCAGACCCAAGCAAGAATAGGATCATTACTAGCAATAGGAGGCAAAGACAAATGAGCACCACCATCAGGCTCAAAAACCGAAAGCAGCCATTTCATATCACCAATAGAAGACTCTAAAAGATTCGAAACCTTACGAAAATCAGCAGTTGTGGTAATAGAAAACACTTGCCGAAGTACCCCACTATGTTTCTTGCATTTGCGGACAAGTGTTAGCGCACGGTCAAGATTCCTGGTGATGTCGGAGGCGATACGGCGGAGAGGACGGTCATAGAGGGAAGGGATGGAGACAGCAAGGCGGACGGCAGAGCGGAGCTTTTGAGAAAGGATGTCAACTTGTTTCGCTAAGTCAGAACAGTCTTGCCTTAAAGATTCAGCTTCTTGGGCTGATTTTATGACACGATCTGCAAGTAAGATTGGAAGAGAGAGTTCTTCTTGCACGGTTTTCTCTTCTACTACACGAGGAGGTACTGTAGAAGAAGAAGTAACAGTAGCGGTTGAAGCAGATGACATTTTTGTTAACTGGATTGGACAATCTAGTTCTTGTAACCTCGTACTGACATCAATTCGGAAAATCTAAGCAGCTGGGGGTTTGAGTTTGGGTGGAACTGGAAGAGTTATAAAATAATCAAGTAAACGTTTGGTTTTGGGATTGATTGTCCTTGTGACTCTGCACCAAAGAAGAATACTCAAATGATAAAATAATAATAATAATAATAATAATAATAAAATAACAATTATATATAATTGGATGCTTCACCTCTTTTTATGGGAGACCTCTATTTACACGTAGCTCTTCTATTGAGGCTCAAACTACTGATTTCTTCGATTGGATCCCCCATCTTATCTCCATTTCCCCAATTGGCTTCTTCTGCTAAAATAATCAGAGATGATACATGTTCTTATGATCTGAAACTAATTCCTCCTGAGCACTCAATCCCCTCCCACTGAGCGCGCGCGCAGCTCACACGCAAGGCACTATCAATTTGCTGACTTAATTTATCTTAGCTCAAGGGCTAGATCGGGGAGAGGTGGATCCTCGGATAGATTAGATTGATGGGTGATGCTATGCATAAAATTAGCTGTTACGAAACTCAATCTACAAACTATATATAGTTCGGGGACTAATATAGATTTGTCCTTGTTCTATTTTGTGAGAAGCGCTCCCTGGTTACTACTACAACTACCCAGGAAAAGCAAGCATGAGAAAGTAGAGGATGGGAAGCTTCTCTTTTTACTTCTTCTTTTTCCACATGGACGTGGAGCTGAGGTAGCCGATGGTTTTTGCAGAAAGAGGACATTATTTACTAGGCAGGCTGGAGCGTCTAAAATTATTGACCCACTTGAGCTTGAGAGTGATGACGAGAGATGCTGGGGTTTGAATAACCTGGTCCACAAATCAGAATCTAAGACTCGATCACTGCTGGCATGGACTCTGGTTGGTTTATTAACCTAGTTAATTTATGATTCTTAATAATAGACTATTTAAAATTCTTTTATTGATCTTTTAGTTTCGTTTGAACTTAGAAAATTTATAATATTGGTTTTTTACTGAAGAAAAAATTGAGTAATAAAACTTCGAATTAGTGATTTTATTCAGTAAAATTCTATGTTGTTTGTCCTTATTATTTATTTTATATGAGGGAGAATTGTTTCTGGATGAGGTACGAACTCAAAGGTGACTTGCTGCCGGCGACCACAATTTGTCAAGAATGTCTGCTGCTATTCCTCACGTGCTTCTCCCTGGTTCATCCTTCTAATGCATGGCAGAGTACCATCCTCGATTTCTAAAATCGCCATTGCATGTTTTCTTTTTCCCTCAGGGACCTCCCTCCGAGGCCACCCTTTGATGGAGACCTTGTCCCCAAGGAACACCATTAAACGCTATTATTTAATATGTTAAAATCATGTTTTTAAAAAAATTAAGTTCTTATTTATTTAAAATTATTTTTTATATATATTTTTTCAGATTGTTTGATGATAAAAATAATTTTTAAAAAACATAAAGTAACATCAACCTGCTACTAACGGAAAACAAGTTTTTTATGCATAGACCAATTAATCAGCATTCAAATCCACAACATATCAACATGTCAAATCAAACCAGAAGAACCCAATCTAGATGTTCATGATGCACAAAACCAGTGAGACATTAATCTAGCATTTGGTTAGCACTTGCTGCATGCAGTTCCTTCTCAGCACCACGTCAAATCCGGAGGTTCTTGACTTCTTTTGGTGATGGGGAAGACTACTATTTTGTAGTTAGCTTAGAGCTTGGCCAGCACCCCATTTTGAAGTGGCTTTGCTACACTGTTGTCTTTAGCATCATTGTCTTTAGCCTCCAATTCGCATGCACTGGGAGGAACATCCACAGCAGGGGAGCAGTTGAAAAACCCGTGAGGCTGCATTCCACAAACATCAGCAGAATGAGATGAATACAGGACATGCATGTAGAGGACCGAAATGTAATTCGAGTACTCAGTACTGGACCAAGATTTTCACCACTAAAAGATGATTGGATATCTAATCCAATGTTAGTCATTGGATTAGATATCATAAGAATAATGTGATTAGAGCAAACTTAAGTTTTAGACCTGCGAGGCCTTTTGCAAAAAGTCTACAAAACTTCAGCAACATTATGCTTCATAATGTAGGACCATATTCTTGAGCGTCAACAGAAAACATTCAAGAACGTTGGAGGTAAAATGAGCTTGTATATGCAAAGTAGATACCATAAGCATAAAACCGATGCGCTCCACCGGCATGACTGGCCAATCTTCCAACCGAGGAACATGTGTGATCCCAAATACATACCTGTAATAAACAGAATCATACATGACGCACAGAAGAATTTCCATGAAGCTTAGCTTGTAATTGTTTTGTTAAAAATAAATAAACAATCAAAGGTATGACAAATTATCAACCTTTCATGGTTATTATTATTGAAAACAAAAATACTCTTCCGAGATCATAAAATATGTTCATTCATCACTGCTTTTTTAGTGGTCCAGTCCGGTACATTCATGACAAATGGATCTTGCCACTTTGATCTTTCAAATAGCATGATGCGAAAGGCCATGTCATCAGAATAATAAAATGATGAATCCAAAAAAAGATGAACACGGGAATGCTTCAGAGACAAACTACTGTTAACTAAAGGAAATCCTGAATTCATATTCATTGAGATAGAAATAAATTTATAAATACAGAGACACATGCGCCCACAAGAGAAAAGGAGAGATTTTCAACTAACCAAAGAACTATATCAGTTTCTTCTAATGGTCGATTCTGCTTAACCCATGTAGCCAGTCCTTCACCAACACGTGGGTTTTGATTTGGGAACTCTCCTCCAGGAAACATCTCTCCATGTGTATAAGGAGTAACCCAAAGATTGTGATTCAAAAAAGCAGCTCGCCTCAAAAACTTCGCCTCAGGACCAGCTAATGGCAAACAATTTGAACCAGGTACTAGCTTGTAGCCCGTTAATTGTCCAGTTCTGTTTACAGTTCTAGTGTTTCTCACCTGAAGAATAAATAGAGCATGATATGGATAACTAAAAGATCTTTTATCCAAGTGATTTGAAAAAACTCCAGGTGAATCTGTCACTGGATCGTAGGCTTTTTTTTTTTCTTGTTTTTTTTCAGCACTGGCACTTAGGTCCTATCAGTCATTTCCTTGTTTTTCACTGGCACTTAGGTCCTATCAGTCATTTCATAGCATTGAATTCAGGAGGAATAATCTTAGTTCCCAGTAATATCTAATAGATTCAATAATACAGTGAAGTAAACAATATGCTGAAAAACACATCCACCATCAAGAAAGAAACAATTGTATTTAACAATCACTTAGCAAGAGCAGCTCTACAACAGGGGAAAGAATGTCTCACAATCCAATGGCGAGCAGTTTGGGGATTGCAATCACGCATTGCTTGCAATTCTGATTGAAGCAGTGTCTCTTTGGCATAAAACGCATTATTGTGGACATTCTTCTCCCCGGGTTTCTCAACCTCAACATTTACCTCAACAACCTACAAAATGGAAAGATAAGTGAATGGAACCATCTAATATTCTACAAATAAGGATTATAAGTTTTTCAAAGTAAAACTTTCCATAAACATACAGCAATTTTTTATTGACAGATCAGAAATGAGGAATTAAGAAACGAACAGTACAATGTAGCATGCAAAGAAGTGCACCATCTCATGGTGGCAAAGAAATCCTTATGATTGACCATAAAGGCATTGGTATTAATGAGGTTTTCTATTAATTCAAAGGAATGTCATGCCTTATTTGGTCTAATATCTCATTAAAATTTCAGAAGGTCTTCAAAAGTAAATCCCTAGTCTGTTCTCTGACTGATAGAACCCACCTTCTCATAACGCAAGCAAGCATCCGAACTAGACTACAGGTAAATCCAGGTTACAGTGAAGGCCAGAAATGGAGATTTAACCAAAAGTAAATCCCATTTCCAAATAGCAGCAAGCACTGCACTACCCAAGTACTTGAAAATTTGAAATCGGACAAATATAGCTCAGAAATTCAATGCATAGTACCTGATTGAAAGCTTCACCAGATTTGCAATCAACAGCCATGTCCATACGAGCAACAAAGAAGTGTTGATGAACTGGTGCATAGAGACCCGGGGCAATGGTTGTACCATATTTTCGAGTTTCCCCAGGTTGTAATGCTCCTAAGCTAAGGATTCCTGTTAGCTTAACTTCAGCTTCGATCTTTCCATCCTGAAGCAATGAACAACTTGCATGTCATTCTAAATCTTAAGATTGCACAGTACAGCCAACAAACAAGGCACAATGCGATCTATCACTTGGCTTAAATAAACATTTGGAGAATTGGTGCAAGTAGCTCATGAAAAGGAAGTTGTCTACAGATAAAGCCTACAGTTAATTGGCACTGCACAAAGCAAATAATGAAACAACTTAGTTGTAGAAATATATATGCTCCTAGTTCACGAAAGTGCATTCAACTCAACTGGTCCATAAAATAGTCTTCACAATAAAATTATGCATTTTGCAACGAACACCTTCTCCTTGATCACAAGTCCAACATCTGAGGGAGCATACATGTGTATTGGAATACAAATAGTATAGGATTCAACTTGCCTGATAGAAGTGCCAGAAAAATCCATACTCATAATTAGCAATGGTACAAATAAAGGACACCGTAAGCCGCCTAGACCTCCGTACTTCTGCTAAACCTGTCCTCCAATCCTGATGCTTCCATAAAATTCCATGATCCTCTTCATGTAAACATACACAATTTTCAATTGTTTCGACACCTCCAGTGAAGTTAGTAAAGTGTGCATCAAAGTATTTGATAAAGCCCAAACAATCACAGCCCTGCAATGGTAATTTGATGATGATAAAAACTAGAAACATAATGATTTAGTGCATCTCAAGTATAATAGTTCACAAACCTTTTTTAGGGAATGTGCATTTTTACCAAGACCATCTTCTCCTGCATCAAAAGCATTCTTACGATAATGTGGTTCATTTGGATCTCCATAAGGCACAACCATCTCTACAAAGCTTAACCTGTGGGCTACAGGTCGTCTCCCCCTGCTCCCATCAACATAGGCAACAGAATGTATAACCAAGCCCTCCCTAGGAGTAAATCCAATGCGAAAATTCCACTGCCAACCAGCAAGAATGTAATCAGATTCTCCATCAATGTTTCTGAAGTTAATAAGAGATAAATTAGCAGATAAATTTAATAATTCTGACATATACCTTCTGCCATTCTATATAGTGTCCACTGACACGAAAGCTTGGACCTTCAAGCTGGATAATTTGTAAAGGTTTCACATCACTTCGATCAACACCACCTCTTGTTTCCCCAGGAGTATAGTTCCTCAATGGATCAGCTAGAGGTAAGGGAACAAGTTTGTGATCTTCAAATTCAACCACCTTCATGTTTTGCATATCAACGAGTACATGGATGCCCTCAACTGGTCGTGCATAACCATTTTCCATTGGGCATTCACTCTCAGTTCTACAAAATATAAGTGGTTTAGCAAGTCTTCTGCTTGGAGCATCAGCATCACTGTGATAACCAACACACCTGCAACATAAATATGAAAACAAAATATCAATAACTTCACACCACCCTATAGCAACTTTTTGACATATAATATGTTGAAAAAACTCATATCTTAGCTCTAGCATACCAGGCATCAACCATCACAAGTTCCATGTCTTCAATTCCTCTTTTTTTCATTGCCTCTCTAAATGGAGGAAAGGCTTTGACAACAGCTTCACATTCAGCATATTCTACAGCATCCTGAACTTGCAACAAATAGAATATTTAAACAAGCAACAACACAAATGAGCATGCAAGTATACCTCGTATTTGTAAAGTCAT